GCCTTGAAGACGGGTAAGTTACTGACAAAGTTATTTCATCCATTTTCTTATCACTTTCATATCACGTGATAATGATTTACATAGCCTGGATCTATACCAAAATTCATTTCTCTACAGTTCTGCAATTAGAACTTTCCTGAAACGCGAACAAAACTTCAAATTTTGGAAGAATTTACAAATCATGTTTTGAAAATGAAGAAAAAGGGGAAATCGACGATTTGAATTTTTGATTTTCCTAATCTCTATGAACACATAAATTTTTGTAATTTTTGTGTTTTCAGGGTGGTCGTTATGCATATGAGCTGGTTGATGGCTATTTGAGATATGTGACGTTGTGGATTATACTCTTCTTCGAAATGCTGGCAGTTGGCTGGTTCTATTGTAGGTCTTCAAAATCTCTGTCCTAGGAAACATTTATCATTTTTTTTTGGAGACATGAGATTTTTCGGGAAATTTATTGGATGTTGTCTATTGCAAACTGTAAAATGAAAGATTTTAAGGAGGATAAAGTAGTGCATGTATTAGTTGTGGCGTAAAATGGATTGAAATTGTGAGAAGATTGGATAAGCGTATGATTGAGATCAAAATGCCGAGAGAGGTGGTTTAACGTTGTGGAAATGTTGCAATTGCAGCGAATGAGTATTGCAGGTGCACATCGTCTTGGTAATGATTTGCATACGATGCTGCGACGAACATGTTGTTGGTGTATCGGACATTTCATTCTCTATTTCATATACCTTCTGCCAGCTATCCCTGTGGTAAGTTGTTGGTTAATGGTTACACTGATTTCTGGGACACCACTTCTCTTTTCTTGCAATAGGTGCACCATTTCCTCTCCTTCAAATGTGCCTTACGACCCATTCAGATATGAAATCAAGCATTAAATCTCTCAGTAATCGATATTGATAAGCGAAACACTGAGTTGGAATCGATTGGAATAATTTCTGGATTTCAAATTTATTGTTCGTAGTGAATGTGTAATTGAGAGGAAAATACAAGAGAAAGCTGATCTCCAGGCAGTAGTCGCACTGAATTTGGCCAATTATGATTATTCAATCTACTCTTCTGGAATCCACGAGTGGAAGTATTCGGAAGTGCTTGGATGGACAATAGCACTGGTACCATTGATACCAATTCCGTTGTTTATGCAGTTTCGGATTTGCAGGACATGTATGAAAGGACCTGGAGTGACGAAGTGGCAGGTAAATGCTGAAAATAATTTTCGGCTTCAAGAATATATCAGTTACGGCGTTGTAGAGAAGCTCAGTGTTTTTTTTGTCTTCTCCGTGTTAAAAATCTAATTTTAATGATTGGAAAAAAGTTTCACGTTTTTTTGCTTCATTCAAGTTCAGTTTTGAACACTGCTGCGATTACTATCATTGCTAATTATAGAAGCTGAAAAACGCAATATCGTCTCCTTTGCCCTATGAAGTTATAAAGACATCGTCATCATCAGCTATGCGGAGATATTCGAGCGATACACCCGGTTACGTTCTTCTTCCGCAAGCTCCGCTCGCTGAACCAGAAGTTTTCAATGAGGTAAAATTTAAATAATCCGAAATTAATTAAAAGTTTAATCTATAACCGTTGCATGCTGGAATGAAGTTTCTTTGTCTGGTTGTAGTTTTTAGTTTGGAAATATTAGTTGTAACTTATAATTGGTACTTTTAGAACCGATCATAAGTAAAATGAACACAGTCGTCATGCCAAGGGTATATCTCAAACTGCCAAAGTTATTTTGCTGCTATATTTCTCTTCTTTTTTAACCGCACTGTTTTGTTGTAAATAATTGTATTTACAATGTGCTTGATTTCAATTCTGTAAATTTTTTAACTGCACATCAATCCCTTTGGGAACATCTAAATGTCACAACCAAAACCTGTTCCGAATGATGTGAAATCCATAGTTCCAGTTACTGGATTCTTATCGAACAAATTATAAAAAATCTTCATAATTTCCGATCGGAGTATTCAGTTATTTTCCTTTCTCAAAAGGGATGGAATCCCCACCAAATGATCACTGTCTTAATCAACTTATGAGTTCCCCTTTAATTGTATCACTTAATCTGGAGAATTCGTGCATTCGATTCCCACCCAGTTTTTGATACTGTGCCATAGGAAATTTACTTTATTATCTCTTTCCACTCTTTGAACTATTTCTTAATCATTACCATTACCTATTTTTTAATTTTCGACTAAATTGCAAAAAGTGACTGCTTTCAGTGATAAAGTGTAAATTTCCTAAATATTGATTCGATGCATTCGCATATATTTCGTCAATCGAATGTGTGAAATAAGATATGCCAATCTTCATTTTACCTCCTTTTTCTGTAATATCTACTTCATTAAGTGGAAATAAATATTTGTTGGGAAAATAAATAAACGACATAGAGGGCCTTCTTGAAGGCATATATACTTAGAAACAAGCATTTAGAAATAAGCATTCAACCGAGTTTTAAAACAGTAGGGGTTGTCGTCGGAATTTCATTTGTTCAATAAAAACGAAGGAAGAAAGTGACTGAGAAAAATTGAAAGGGCTTTTCTCCACGTCTGCTCAGCAATTATCGCAGTCTACAAATGATCTTAAATGCTGAAGCCTACTGTCACCGAAAGATTCATTTAATAAGGTCGGTAATTAAGAACGCGGATATAATGAAGTATTTCAGTGATAAGATTCATAAAATGAACTAAAGGAAAGTAATTATGACGATCTTACCTTCCAAGAACGTCATATAGTATTTCTAATGCGCCACTGCTGCCAGATTTCCTATTGCCTATTTTAAACGATCAAAGGATGAAAATGAAATTCTCTCTTCCCTACTTTGCTATCATTTTTTCTCGAGTAGTGACCGTGTCGTAATAAATTTGAATTGATGAAAATCGCATATATGATATGCATATTCCAACTAGGATAGTAAAATATGTACACAGTTCAACAAAATAAGAAGGAACGCTATGCTTCTGCAAAATAAGAGATCTGAACGTAATAATAAAAAATTACATATAAAAAGCACCAGATTCATTTGGGTCAAATATCTGTGGCGCAGTACGATAAAGATATTGAAGTACAGGTATACATTGCGGCTCATTTTTCACCATTGAAACAACCGTCCGAAAAATGCTAACTGTTTTGCTGTATAACCAATCTCCACTTTCGGCAGTTTTCAGTCCTTCCTGCAATAAAAATCCGACGCTTACCAATTAGATGAAAAAAATAACGAAATGATAAAATCACAGTCTATTTTCAAAGAAAAAAATAAGACCTCTGCATTTAGTGTGCCAAATCTTTAAGATCTGCAGTTCAAAGAAGGAAATATTTTCTCGATATCCGTACTGCCATAATGAACAAATTTCATATCACACCCAATTTCCATGATGCCCGAGATTACATAATATCCTTTGTGTACTGCTTTCAATATTAGGGAGAAATCAGTGTACCCCAAATTATATAAAGACTCATTCTTCTCTACTCTAGCTTTTCCAATCAATATTTATATTCTTATCAAGTAGACAGAGTATCATCTTGAGATCTAAACAGAACGATTATGCTTTCTTGTCCTCTATCAATAAATCCAGTATTATGTACTGGATCCATCGTCAGGGTCCACATTCCAAAAATGATTACAATTTTCAAAAGCAGATAAATCACAAATGCTATTTTCCTTTAGATGAATTAAACTGATATAGACACTCTTTTGTTTTTCATCATAAACAGTAAATGAACTAACGTTTATCATGGCCAAAAAGTAAGTCGTAAATTCATTCATCCCACCACGCAATTGTATTGGAATCTTCGGCAATAATGCATCCAAACTTCTAAAGTATTTTACGCTGCTCACCGAATTATAGTTGACAAGTCAAGCAAGATATAATAATAAAGTTATTTAAGTTATATATTCAAACAAAATACGAAATTATTGAATGAACTACAGAGTAATGAATAAATATCAAAACTGAAATAACTTTTTTCTTCAAGTTCCAGTACAACGGATTTTACTTTGCACACACAACAAATTCCTACAAAAATCCATACTAACAATTCTGATTTGATAAAATGAATTCTGAATAATGACACATAAAAGATAAACCTTTTAATAAAAGTGACTTTCTGAGCTGTATCACCATCCATGGCTCTCAGCTGAAATGCTGCCATATAAACGGGATCAGTAAAAATCGACTGCAGAGCTTCATTAGCTGAAAAAAACATTTCAGATCAAAAAAGATTATCATCACGAGCAATCTATAAAGAGGTTTCTATAAGCAATCTATAAAGAGTTATCTATTTACTCTTATTCAAGACTGAAAAGAGTTAATGGAAGTTTTGAGAAAGAATGGTTCATTCTACGGCGTGGGATAAAACATAAAATTAAAACAAATTGTAAGTATCCCTGCAACGACTAAAATAAGAAATACAGCATCGATACACAGCAATATTATTAGACGTGATTATATTTTTCGGTTTCAATGGTAGTAACTGGGAAAAGTCTTATTAGCGGACAAAAATCAATACTTCGCAAAAGACCATTTAGATGATGATGACATAACAGATTATTTCTCCCACCGTAGAGATACTAATACTATCAATTAGATGGAATTTGCAGTCAAATGTTATAAATTTCAAATTTGTTTTTAACATCTAACCTTGATCATGCAATAAAACTATGTTTGCCTGTGTTTGCTCCATGAAATTGCTATACATTCCTTTACTTGGATTTACTTTCTCGCGCTCGTAATCTTCCCAAGCTTCCTTACATTCCTGGAATGATTTCAAACTTACCACTTGCAATTAATTTTTAAAAAATTACGAGAACTTTACAAGTGAAAGGAAAATTATTGACATTAGAAAGTTCCCAGACGTGAAAGTTCCTGAAGACAACGTGAAAAAGTAATAAAATTTTAATAAATAAAGGACGAATGTAATTATCGTGAAGAATATAAAAAAAGACTGTCTAAAGCAGAAGATAAGATTCTGAGATTGTTCCTTCGAATATCAGAGGTGTAAAGGGAATCATATGTTTTCTGGTGACAACACTTTCCCTGCTTTGCCTTGCACTTTTTTTTTGATCCTTCCTCAGTTATAAGACAAAAACACCTCACAACATCCCAGGTCTTGGATTAGAACTGATCAGTAAAATTAATCAATCCAGGTCTAAAATATATAAATCACATTGATGACTTACTTCAAACTAAAAAAAATTACTTGAAAAAAAGATTGAAAAAAAAGAATAAAAAACATTTTTTCTTTTGGAATTTTATAAACTTATCGGCAATTTAACAAGTTGGTGAGTAAGAAAATTAAACATGAAACAAAGGAAATGTACTCAAGAAAGCAAATAAATTAACCTGCTCAGTAAGTTTTTCTTCTTCCAAATTCTTGAACAATGAATCATGCTGGATGTAATTTACAATGCAATCACTGTGCGACAAAATAATATCCGCCAATAAGCGATCCTGAACATTTATAAAAATTTATTTCCTACTAAATTTTTTAATCAAAGTAAAAAACAGTAAATCGCCCTGCAAAAATATAACGGCTGATTATTTTATTCCTCAACAATATTCTTAGGATCAAATTCTGGGAATTTATTTTGTCTTGGAAAATGTTACTTTTGGCGGTGCCATCAATGGCCTTTTTGGTACATTTTGTGTATCATTCAATTCATCTGGATCAAACTTATACAACTCCAGTAAGTCATGACCAGCGAAATGCCGTTCAATTTGGGCTTCATCTACAACACGCATCGATGTTGACTCTTTCGTAACTTGACGTTTATATATTCGTTCTTCCATCGTTCCCTAGATTAGCATCAATATTTCATCAGACAATGAAACTCAATTTGAAATTCTTGGAGAGAGGTACAAAAATATCCATGTATGTAGATGCTAAATGGTTAGACTATATCTAAAGATTAGTAGGAAAGGAAGTGTTTCATTGCTAGACTTATGAGTCGTGATGATGGAAATTTTCAAAAATTAAGGAATGAGTTGAATTTAAAAATCCAATAACAAAATATTACTTCATTACAAGAACTAAAAAGTAATAGTTACCTGAGCAATGAAGCGATAAATGTACACGGGTTTTGTCTGTCCAAACCTGTAAACACGAAACAAAGACTGTGTATCATGTGATGGATTCCAGCAAGCGTCAAAGATAACAACCCGATTTGCAGCAACCATGTTGGTCCCCAGTGAACCAGCACGCGTAGAAATAAGCATTAAACGGGAACTAAAAAAGGTTTGGAAATTAAAATTCATTCGGTTGTAAATAGTAGTGAAATCACGCAGAAATTTTTTTTTCAAATCAAAGTTGTATTTTTATTACCAAATAAAAGCTAGTTTTACATCCTCTTAACGATTTTCATTACTGTACACTAAAAGACTGAAAACTGACATCTCAATTCATATAAAAAAGAAATCTCCTTCTCAGGTGTATTAAAAATCGATTCAATATACCGCAAATTGTTTGGATCATTGAATTTTGTTTGTATTTCGTGCCGTTTGCTGGTTTGCACTTGCCCATCGATCACCTAAATATTCAGGATTATCCATACGTGAAAAACGAAATGAAAAGTACAATTTACATGAAATTTATATGAGATCTACTGCAATATTGAAAACCTATGCAATATAATGATGAAAAAATGCTTATAAAAGGGTAAAACAATAAATTATGTCGATACATACGAAATATACAGGTAGAAATGTGAAGCAGAATGGAAATGTACTGTTATTCTAATCACCGGCAACATGACCACTTGCTATATTTAACGGAATGGTGTACTGAGGCTGGAATCGCTGACCTTCTCTCCAAACTCAAGCGCAATAAAACAAGTATTCACATAGTTATAAATGCGTTGCATTCAACTGTAGTTGAATATTACTGACGCAATAAAACCATCTTTAAATGTCATACAAACCGGCGATGAATTATAATTTCTCACAACTACGAACCATATAATCGCGACCCTCTCTCCAACCCCAAGTTTCGTTTGCTGCTTTCATTGCTTCGTGGCCATCCGTAAACCATGCACCATTCTCATCCATATATTGCAACATTCGTTTAATTAGGGAAATTGACTCAATACTTTGTGAAAATACCAACCTAAATATAAACAACATGAAATGAAACTGAAGTCAAAAAAAGCCGGCCTCAAAATTCTTCTGCGACAGAATAGACAAACTAGTTGTAGAATTAGTTTGTCTATTCTGTCGCAAAAACCTTAATACGTGATAACATCTGATACAGTATGCCGAAACATCTACGCTCATGTGAAATTGGTATTACCAAGACTATACGTTAAAAAGCTGTGGTATTCCTTTGATAAGATTTAAAACTTACAATTTATCCCCAATTTCTTCACTTTTTTTAATAATTTCAACCAACAACACCAGTTTATTACTAAGCGAAAAGTCGTTTCGATCAGTTTCTGTGACCAAACCAGTTTTAGTAAACCATCCTTCGTATTCCGGCATAATTTCTTTCCCATCCTCTGCATCTTGGCCCGCCAGTCGGCGTGACTTTCGTGCTGGTACTGAGGGTTTATTGCTTGTTTCAGGCTGATCATTGCCATCTCTGAGAAAATATATAATTATAGTGGTAGAAAATTGAAGATTTGAGGAAGTATTTGCTTCTTAAAAGCACAGAAATACGCTTTTTTGGTTTTCGCCACCCACTCTCAAAAAACGATATCCCAGAAATTTTTTTAATAAAAGATATTTAAAAAGGACAGGAAAGCGGTCTTTAATTCTAAAGAGAAATTACACTTCCCATTCTCTTTTTTACTTTATAGCCGAAACCTACAAAGGAATAATGTCATCGTCCGAATCAACATCTGATGATGTTTCGCTTTCATCGTCATTTATGAAATCCGCCATTTCATCCTTATCATCCTCCCAAAGACGCTATAAGCAATAATTTTTGTAGACAACTATTAGAAAAAAATGATAAATTCACTGGAAGCTTTACAGTTAAAGCTCCCACTTTCAAAATTCATATAAAAAATAATGAACTGAAGAAAGTACCTTCTTCTCAAGTTCAATTTGATGAGCAACAAGCTGGTAGGGATGAGTCCAAATACGTGATAGCACGTGATAGTCGGGAAGAAGTCGTTTACTTAATAGTATACCTTCTGGACCAATACCATCAAGAAATGTACGATACAGCGAGACTTGGCGAGGCGTCAAACGAACATTCACTACATATTCTTGCTTTGGAGGAATAGCTTCCGTTAATACTCGATAATCCTTACGCTAAAAATACGAAACTATGCAATAACTTTGTCACTTTTTGTCAAGAAATGATTTAACAGAGTATACTTGCGGTCGTCTTCAGAAATCATCAATTATGGTAATACCTTATAATATGGCCATGCCAACCTTCAGACCTTGCCAACCAGTCTAATCTTACAAACCGTGACATCAGTATGTGGAAGTGACAGTACCTGAAACGCAATCATGCTTTCATCATAACATCATTTTAAAACTATAGCATTTGAGTAAACTTACATCAACAACATTTTTGAGATGTTCATATAGAACGTGACAACGTTTCTTCATACGACGAACTTCTATTGGTGTCGCATCTTTAGTTCTTCCACGATTGATGATATTTGCGAAACGATTTGCAAATTCTGCTTTGGTACCCAATAACCCTGGTTTGACAAAATTTACCATGCAATGATCTGTAAATATAATTCAATACCTCTTTATCAAAATACATTATTAAGCCAAGTTTTCTACACCACAATTGATTTGGGCAGCATTAGTTCCTAATCGTTATAGTAATACAAAAATTAATTGTAATTTATGCATATAATGATATGCGAAACTATTTATTCTCAAAATTTCATCGCATCTCCTTTTTCTACTCGCTAAGAATTATTTTTTGCAAAAGTAATGAAAGAATTTTAAAATGTGTTATATGAATCATTGCAAAAAGTTCATTTAATAACACTTGAAAACATATCGACTCTTTGGACAAACTTACATTCCATAAGATTATTCTGAAGTGGTGTTCCAGTCAAGCACAGTCGTCGTTTTGTACGAATTTTTAACATAGTCTTTGCAAGAGCTGAATCGTCATTTTTTAATTTATGAGCTTCGTCACAAATAATTAAATCTGGTCCTAAAATTCCGAATTTCAAAAATGATTTAAATTATGAATATAAATCAACAACAAATAATTACTGGAGACTGTCTGCTTCAAAGTTAACATTCTACTGTTCAAAAAATTATCTAGAAAGGCAACATCAATTCTGACCATCAGTAAAAAAGCTCTAACCAGGATCCTGAAGGAACTTTCGGAAATCTGGTTGCAATTTGGTCAACCTTTTATTCTTCGTTGTTTTCTTCATTCCATCAACTCTTTTCTTGCCCTGAAAATTTATTCCGTTCATTAACCGATTCCACATAGACCATAGATATCTCTGCTTTCAACTGTTTTAAAAATCTACACTGACTGTTATACTTATCTTATCGCCATCGTCTTGTGTTAAAATCCTGAACATGTCATAACCAATAATCATTACTGACGGTATGTCATTTTCGAACCAATTTTGTAGGGCTACCCGTCTGCTAGTATAATCTTTTAAAGAGTCCAATTCCATAACCTGAAATAAGAAAAAGTTTTATATCTTAGTTGTTGCTTAGATTTTTAAAATTAAATATAAATACTTCAAAAATCTAGCATAATCTTGCAAAATGACTGGATGCGTTTTCCTTGGAAGGTTCTTCATTTTTTATTCAATTTTTAAAATCTAAACAGTCACTGAGATATAAAACTTTTTTTCATATTTTATGCATCTTACTCTTATTAACGTTTGTTTTATTATTGCAATTAATTTTTTCATTTCTACAAAATTATAGGAGACAAAATGCATGGAAGGGAAAATAATGTGCGAGGAGAAAAATACAAATTCTTAAACTTAGATAAAAGATTGAAAGCCTAAAAATCACATTCAGAACGACTAATATGTTACAGAGGTGATCGTTCTGTTATCTTCTCACTTCATTTTCATCATTGCTACCTAGCTTTTTCCCCTTACATCTGCTCATTTAGATACTCAACAACTTTTCCTAGCTGTAACTGTCGTCTGAAAGAAACAAAAACGATGTATTTAATAATTATTAGATTTTTTTTTATCTGGCGTTTAAAATCAGTTCAAAAAAATTAATAGTAACATTAATCGTGGCTAAATCTTTATCGATATTCTCATTATCAAGCCATTTCTCGAATTCATTGTACCAGTTTAATACAACATTTTTGGGCACAATGATTAAGATACGTTTGAGATGATCACGCAATTTTGGATGCATCATTACAGTGTGCAAGAAAGCGATCACCTAAAATGTTTCTTAATAAGTCATTCATTCAAGTAACATATATTATTATTTAACATGAAAATCTGAAATGAGATTGCATGCTTCATGTACTGTAGTTAGTACCATCTTAACAAAATAAGTCCGTTTAAGTCCGTTTAAATGATTAGACTGATAATGTCATAAAATTCTTCCGAGAGATTCAAAGTAATGCTTGAACTATGTGGCTCACGTTACCACCGAGCAAAAACTACACAAAATAATTTGACAATGATCTTAGCGACAAGAAACACCTGGGAAACCCGAAGTGTAGTGAAATAAAATTTTGCGTTAAGCATTTTATGCACTCTCAAAAAATAATTGAGATTAAAATATTTCGAAAATAAAATATCGACTGTTTTGGAAAAATTTTCTAGAGCTCGGTCCATGTCAATGTTGCAATCATCACCATCATCATCTGTTTAAATTTATTATAAAAATAATAATAACCTGCAATGTTTTACCCAAGCCCATGCAATGAGCAAGGATACCGCCACCACCATCTTGCTCTAATCGTTGTAGCGATTCGATAGAACTATCATACAAAAATTGGATACCCTTAGCTTGATGAGGTTTCAGGAAAGCGACCAATGATGGATGTACGGATACCGGACATGGTGGATTGCTTTTTTTATCAGGATCGAGAACAACACTTTTCAAACGTTGGTGCTTCGTCAGTTGTGATGAAGAACCTAGTGCAGTCGCTAAGTCTGGTCCATCGGCCAATTCAATTCCATTGAACTAAATTATTGATAATCAGAATATGAAACAATTAAATATAAAAGTAAGTAGTTAATAACTGCTAATGAATACTTCTGTCTAAAGCTTTTCCAATACAAGCCTTTAATGTATAAAGAATCTAAACATAAGCGAATATCGAATTTAATGAAACCCTTCAGCATGATAGAAAACCTTTCTAAACAAAATTTTTGAAATTTCTTTTGTTCATAGATTCTACAATTAATAAAGACAGAACGAGGACTTCGAATTCAAACTAAGAAGTAATCAAAACTCCTTAAAAAGAACTGCAAATAAAGCTTCAAAGATATCCAGATGCTTCATATTTTAAGGGCATCCGATTTCAGTTACAAATAATATGAAATCATCCATTTCGTTGATGTTGATATTAAAAATGTGAACAAGTTCATCGCCGAGTTTGAGATTTTATTTACATTTTTAATTTTATATCAATATCAACACATTTATGAGAGGATGTCATGTTTCGCCATATAAATAGAGCAGTCAACACCCAAAAAACAGAATCTTACTTCTTTCTGTTTTGCTTCCAAACGTTTCCTCCGTTCTTTTTCTGCCAGTTCGGCGTCGATTGTATCCTTCTGTAACTGTTCTTTAGCCAGAATTTTCCGAGTTCTTCTCTTGTTTGACAATTTTCTGTTCATCTCATCATCATCCAGATCTTCTGATACGTTGTCACCATTTCTTTCCTCCTCGTCTTCGCCATCATCATCAACGCGAACACGCTTTCGCTTCAATCTGGAAATATTTCTATAATATGCGTAAATTAAAATGTAAAATTTAAATTAAGTTCCAGTATAAAATTAGAAACCGTTTATGAAAAACTAGTTCAAAAAGAGATAGTTCAAAAAAATCATCAAGGGAGTTCATGAAAAATGGACTCTTTCATGAACTCCCTCGATAGTTTCTTTAAAATATTTCAACAGAAAAAAAGAGCAAAAGAAAGAATAAGCAAATAAACAAACTTTACACGTGTATTTTGCTCTTTACGCGATGCCTTACTACCATTCTCATCACTCACATTGGACAGTTCAATATCACTGTCAGCTTCAATTATTTCAGAAATTATGCTATCATCAGTATCTGATTCCAAAGTATTAAAGGAAGTTTCAGAATCCGAAGAATGTATTTGTTTTCGCCTGTAAAACAAGATGATTAAGAGCATTAGATTTTAATTAACATTTTAAGATTTCGAGGATAAATCATGAAATTACGAAATTGATCGTCTGAAAATTTATAAGAAAATACATAAACTAAATTACTTGAAAATTCATCCATTTTGTACCACCACAAAATGAAACTGATGAAAGAAGTGCTATTTTGTGAATAACCCTTACTTCCTATTTCCTTTTCTTTTATTCTCTTCGACATCTTTGGTACCTTCTTCCGCTTTTTTTCCCATCTTTTCGCCATTGACTGATTCCACTTCACTATCACTTAGCACCAAACGCTTGCTTAGAAGACGATCTTTTTTGAAGTCATCACTCTAAGAAAGGATAATTCTAAAGAAAAAAAGTATTGAGAAAAAAATACTTCAACACCCCTATTGCTTCAAGAAAATATATGGTTCTTGTAATGCTAAAATATACTTAGAGAATGAGTTAGAGTTTAGATCAATGTACCAACACTATGTTAGTCGATTAATTTCAGACACTATAGAGGCACTATAGAGTGCTACAGAAATTCCAAAACAATAATCATGTGATTCATATAGATCGTATTTCATTTCCTAATGGCAACATTAAAAGATAATTTACTTAAAATTGCACCATACAATTCATTATAACATCTAAGTATATCCGAATTTCTGTTCATTTCAGTGCTTGAACTAGGACAAAAAAGGTCATGCACTATTTAAAAGTAAAAGGTGAATGAAATACAGTGAGCAACGAGCTCAGTTCTACCGAAAAAAATTAGGATCAATTTCAGCACAAATTCTTTATTAGTAATTGCACTGTAGTATGGAATAAGTTCCATTCGTAAGATTTATAAATAACTTCTTTACTTTGTTAATGTGACCCAAACATTTGCAGTCAAATTTCAAGGTATCCTTATAACTTCAACTTTTTCTGAGAAGTGGAAGTGAACTATAGTGAAAATGTCTCATCCTTTACTTGATCATCCTATTCCTTCTTAACAGTGCCATTTCTGTTTTCATAGATGCTAAATAAATAATCGTCTTCTCATAAAGACAAGTGTCACTTATACTGGTAAATAACAGACACTATATAGGAATTAGAAATAAGATAATAACAAACCATTTTCGGTACATCATCATCACTTAAAGTTTCATGTTTGGCACAAACAAGTTTCATGTTTGAATTACATCTGAAATACAAAAATTCATGTATTTTATTGAATTAATTAAGAATTTGAAACAAATTTTTAAAATTTTCCAACTAGGAAAAAAATTCAATTACTTATTCTTAGTTGTTGCTGCATTTTGCTTCGGTTCATCGGTGCTTATACCGCGATCATAAAGTTTTTTATGTTTAATTTCCGATAGAGACGTCGTTTCCTTGTCTTCCTTAGATTCCTCCTCTTTGATATCATCCTTAAAAATAAAAAGACCGATAATATTAACCAAGTACTCATATACACTTAAACTATAACATCCTTAACATTATATAGCTTATTTTTATGATAACTGTACTATTGAATATTCCATTCTTGTATTAGCAAATGTTTACACCAAGTATTGTGTAGCCCATTACCTAAAAGACTCTTTCTCCACGCTGCATCCAAAGGAAAGACATTTCATAAAAAAACAGAATTTGAATGAACAAAATATCACATTTTTATGAAGATTTACTTTAAAAAAAAGCTGTAGAAAAACAAGCAAGCTGTAGTGGAGTTATATTTCGTGATGATAGACATAAGAGATCAACAAAGATCTTTTGCACAAATTGTAAGTACTTTACCTACAGGTGGGATCAAACTTACTTCACTATGATCCGTCTCAATATAATCGTATTCTTGAGCGTTTCCACTCAAAACAGTTTTTACGGAACTATTATGTGCGTGTGATTTGTCATTCCTTCTCTTCTGTCCTTCATTTCTAAGTAACATGGTACCAGTCCTCAACAGAAAATCAGCCTCAGAGCTTGATCCATCAGAATTAACCACTTCATCTGCTTCTTCATATGCAATCTGAATTAAGAGTAGTGATTGGTGTAATTAAGGATGAAATACATTGAGGATCATCCTTCAAAAAAATTAAAGAAAACACCAAATTTCAAATTCATCATTCCCTGTCTTTTTCATCTTTCTAAAATAATCTTATCCATATAAGTCCAAATATACCTTCTGCAAAGAATCGATCACTGCCCTCAGCTCTGGATCCCTATCACATTGTATCACTTCGATATATGATGGATAAATATTATATTGTTTTAAAACCTACAACAAATCAGCTTACATTTTTACGAATTTTAGTTTATTTCCAATTAACTGATTTTATATTCCGATCCATTTGTAATTATACCATTGCTTACTTCGCTTTTTATCACTAGCACAGTTACTACTTTCACTGCAAAAGTTATTTAAATGCGATAAGAAGTCAAACACAACATGTAACACTAATCTTTTTAAACTAATTTTTTGCAATTCGAACCTACTCATATTTAGAAAGATCATAAGGTCATCTCGTTGCCATCAAATAACTCCATGTAACTTTCCATTATTTGATGTAAGAAAGCTTTACTTTGTAATCCCAGCTTTCAGATTTAACTCACTTTCATTATAACTTACTTTCAAATCTTCTTCGGTGAAATCTTTGGCACCAGTAAAATCTACATGCTTTTCCTTCACGTCCGTTTTTCCATCTGAAAATAAAAAAATAATTTATTAAAATCTGGAATGAAATGCGACAGCAATAATTTCTTGCCTACAACTGAACATTTTTTCAATAATTCATGCTTTGGATAAATTTTTCGAATAAATTTTTATCAATCAAAATAAAAAAACTAATTTTCATCACAGACTAAAACAAAAAGAAATCAACCTTCATCAAAGGTTTCTTGTCCTAAACTTTCTCGAACAGAAGACTCCGATAAATTACATCGATCAACAACCTCAGTGATATCAGTATCCTGCAATAATATTTGCATATTATCATTTAGCTGAAACTATTTGGAGACAATTTAGCTTCTTGATTTCCATCAATATTTGCGGGCCAAATACAATAAAATGGTATCCTAAATTATCATGAAACTTGAATAGGTAAATTATTCATAGAATGATGGATCAAACCAACAACAACTCCTTAACTGTCAAGTGTGCTTTTCATTTATTCAATTAGATATTTGACTATATTATACAATGTAGATGTCTTCATAACTATTAGATAAGACATAGCTTTTCATTCATGAGTCCAAAAATTCAATAATCTGAAGCAATATGAGAAAAACCAGTACTGTTCTCAAAAATCCTCACTAAATTAATAGGAAAAATATGTACTACTTTTACCAGAATTTACAAGGTCAATTACTAAATCGATCGTCAAAATTTATTAGAGAAAGTGATAAAGTGGGAAAACTGCGAAATTCCGAAAGTTCGAGGATATTATAAATATAAAAGAAGGAGAAGCAGGAGAAAGAAAAGTACATATTGGATGGGATCAAATTTCATACTCGACTGCAGTTAAGAATGTAATGCAACATGTGAAATATTAATTGCACTATAATAATAACATAAGCATCTCTGAAAGCGGCCCGACAACAGTGCTTTATCTAGTAGAGATAGGAATGTATATAAAGAAGTTAACAACTATTGGCTTTCGTTTGCGTCGAACGATCTGTCATAGATGATTCCAAAATCACACATGCTGCTGTGTCTGCAATAGTTACTTTCAGATTTCGGGAATATATCGCTGTAGAACGATGCCATGTCAGTGATTAGTCAAATTTTGGGAAGGGAATAACTTACAAGCAGCGCAATAAATTTTATTGCTTTCCTTTCTTCTTTTTATGGTAAAAAAACAATCAACGATAACACCTTAGTTTTACTCGCCACCATAAATTTGGGGGATCTTTTATTAATGCTGCACTGGTTCAAATAACTAATTGAAGTGTTTATTTCTATCAAACTATTAAATGTTTAATCCGAAGCTGACAGAAATTTATGACATTAAATTTCAAAAAATATCAAAAGACGTAAAATCCGTTACATCAAAATTTTTCCTATAGAAACAAAAAAAAAACAGCCCACAAAAAGAACTAAAAAAAGCAAAACAAGTTAAAGTAGGAAATTTTCGGATTTCTTACCAATTCCACTATTTCATCGTTGTCGAGCGTTTCCGAATTACTTGCTTTATTTTTGCCTTGTCCAGCATTTGCTTCCATAATTTCGAGATCTTCAAAGTCTTCAGTTTTCCTACTGATACCACTATGCAACTGATCACACTTCACTCTCGTTTTTTCACCACTTCCATCATCTGACTTGCCAATCTCGTTGCTATTATCAGATCTGCCTTTATTGGAATTCAATATCGCAACGTCCCAGCTATTTGTAGATAATTCTGTCCTGTTTTCATGATAAAGCAGTGCTTTTCTTTTTTCTATCATGATAACCGACTAAGATTACTTTGAGTTTAAGGAAAGATTATATTGCATGATACGATACAAAGGTGTTATCTGTGAACACGTGAATAACATGACGGAATAGGGAAAAAAATGCTTGAAAAATTACAAAAAACAGAGGTGCTGAATTCCGAAAATATTCCCACTTTACACCATATGCCGAGCGAAAATACAACCACATATGATGCATGGTTATCCACACATTTTTTAATGATAAGCCATAATCAAATCAAACATCTATTTTCCAATTCATTGTATTTCATATCTTTTTCATAAGTTCGATATTCGGTTATATGTACATTTGATATCATACTGTGATGTGAATCAGATCGCAGATGAAATATTTTGTTAATTTTAATTGTAATCATGTAAAACATAAACTAAACTACAAACCTGGTGTAGTTGTCGTAGAAATGGCTAGTTGCTATGTCGTTACGTGAGCTTTTCAGTGTTTCTACAACTGCATCTATTTGTTGAATAAAATATTTTGCATGTTCCCGCAGAATAGTCACGTAATCTTCCGAATTTTCACTGTCATATGTAAATAATGTTTGACGAATCTGTAATTTTTTCTCTGAAGTAAGAAAGAGCTAAGTAAAAAAAGAAGCAGAGAAATTGAATTATTCGACCCTTATGACGAGCTGAAAAAGTGTTATTCGTAAAACAGTGTCATTTGGTTTGAGCTAAAAGCTTCTAAATAATGCGTCATTAGTAACTATAATAGAGTTATCAGCACCGTTGGAGCTGATTTATGATTTTTTTGATAGCTTAATCAATGGACAAATGAAAGAAGTTGTTAAATATATGTAATGTTAGTCATTCCTGGGATATGTATGCTCCAGTGCATAGTTGTATCGTTAAGTTTGTAGTTCGCTGAGTTCACTAAAGTTTTGAACAGTTATGCTATCAGCTATACTAGATATATTGTGACAATTTTAATACTCTGCGGAGCTTTTAAGAATTAATTACAAATAATTAGAGAGCTAGCAAAGATTTGAAGAGCAAGAAGTGTCGGATAATTCTGATATAAAAATATGAAGGAAAATTTACATCTAAAATTGACGCACTATTCTCTGAACGACAATTCAAAAATCAGAAATGGAGATGATCACCGTTGTTATTTGAAATAATGTACCCAAGTAACAATTTTGAAAACGCTACAATGTCGAAATGTTTGGAAAATAAATCTTTATCTTTTAAATAATGATAGTTGTAACTTTAAAAGGCAGGAATGCAGTACTAAACATTTGAACACAAGGTAGAAAATAGTGAACATAAAAAAAGGAAAAAGCAAAAATCGAAGATTTCTATCTTCCCGAGAACGATTTAATTTTCGGAGAGCTTAAGGAGACTGCATTCTCTTATATCACATTACCAAAACTATTTGAATGGCCTGAGCGAAAATCCCCAAGAATTCTACGGTCCGCAACTAATATGCTGAACACGCCTAAATGATGAACACGGCTAAATCCAATAGAAAATATTTCTGCACAGGGATATTAGCAGATCGACTTTACATTCTCTATAAGTAAATATACTATTCCATTAGCTTTTCTAATGAGAATCACTGTAAAAACAACTCACCTGTATTCCATATCTATATCGAAAATCATGCCAAAAAGCTAAATTCAAAACAGGAAAAAAAATTGCAACACAGAAAGAAATAGTACCAACAAGAATATTAATTATTCGACAAAATTTTTTGTCAAAAATGTTAGATATTAAAAAGGCTTCGAAATGATTAAAATATTAGACAGAGCGACTACAACTAACCTTACTTAACTGGTTCAAATTATCAGTGAGTGTCGCACTAACTAAATCGATGGAATTGACCAAATTATCGAATCCATTCGGAAGGATAGTGAAACTGCTTGTCGTATTCATAACTGGTTGAGATAATAATATTCAGTTGCTGGAAAACAGCAAATTATTCAGGAATGTTTTGGATTCTTTACAAGAGGACTCTTTAAAACAACGTAAAAACCGCACGTTAACTCTGGCGCCTGACTTGATCGATGATCAGTGTATAGTGATATGAAAGAGTGAACAAGAACAGAACAAAGTTTCTGGGTCACATTTCTGGATATCCCTTTGTTCATAAATAAAACTGTCTCGTTCAGACAACTGTTTAAAATTATGAAGTAAATCATGACCAAAGTTAAATCTTTCTCGAATCAGGCGTTGACGGATAAAAAATCTCGCCCATGTTTCGCTGTTCTGAAATGTCAAGAAAACGAAAAAAAGGCGTATTAAACGAAGTTATTCTTCATGTCTCATCTGTATCGATATATTTGTGAAGATGTGCTTCACCGATTTATTACCGTACTGAGAACATCAAATGAATACATTACTTTTCCAAAAGGAGAGAGAGAAATATCATACTGCTTTAAATGAGTTTTTTTCTTTACTTCTTTTCCGTGAAAAAGGATGAGAAAAATATGAGATCATCAATTTTATCCACTTTCCGGCAGCACTGATCAAAGAGTACTTTTATTTCAGTTAATTAATTCGAACAATTTGTTGATCCAAGGCAGAGAAAAAGATTTAGAAAAACTTCACAATTACATAATACACTCGATATCACATGATAATGCTTTCATCATATATTTCAATTCTAAATTAATAATTAATGAAAGGAAATCAATAATTCTAAAAAAAGAGAAATCTTTTATCCTAATTAATCGAATTGTTCTTAGAATCAAATAGAAAAATGATTCAAAGCCTTGCAAGTAATGGAATGAAATCGAAAAAGAAATCCAGCAGATAAGGTCAAATCAGAAATCGCCTTGGAATTCAAAAAAAGTAGGATTACTTTCTCCTGAAGTCAATTTTAAACTTAATGAGAAATGATAAAAACTGAAAGGGAACTGCTCTCAGAATTAAAATCAGACAGAGGTTGGGACTAATTTTTTCTATAATTAATGACGAAGTAATACATTACAAGCAGCAGAAAATCGTTACCGGAAATGATTTGAAACTAACAGAACTAAACGTCATCTGAAATGGTCCACTAAATTTGAGTAGGTAACTGAGAGTGAATTGGGACGAACTGCTTAGCACCCAATACACCGCATTCACTCATCAATTTCGGATTCTCGCTATTGCAAATTGCTCACTAGAAATCGCATTTAAAATCAAACAGAAAGCTGAATTTCTTTAGAAACATTGAAAATGGTTTTCAAAAAGATTAATTTAAGATCAATTCCTTTTAGAAATAAAACGAATCTTCACTCATCGATGGAAATCCCCAATGTTACTATTCCTAACACTTACTATGATTTTGTTCCGTTAAATGAGAATTTCTGACTCATCAATAGATTATCACAACAACCCCCCTCAGTGAGTGCACTCCGGCAATTAACCCTAACTTGATCCGACCTGAGGGGTGGAAATAGTTGCAACATGCTATCAGTAGTATTCTCACTCCCTCTCTCTCCCTGTTAAATGACTGCTTGAAACTGCGACAGCTGGCATGGAATGTCACCTGTCCCCGAAGGGGTCGAGACTCGGCAAGCAACAAGTCACCCCCCCCCCACCTCGTCTTCTGAATCTCTCCGCAGATCGCTCCACATATTCTCCATCTCCGACCATGTCCTTTTGTCTCCTTTGCTTCTCTATCATCCCTTCCTTCCACAGCAACGACAACAGAGAGAAGACTGTTGCTAGAAGCGCTTTTTAGCTAATCGAACACAGACCGACAATTCGTCTTTGAGTGAAAATTTGATAATCCGGGAACGCAAGCCTAAGGTTGCGGCACGACCCTCGTGCCACTCGGTGGTGATGCCTGTGAACATACACATGGCACATTCTCGTGCCTGGATCCTTTCGCCAAATTTTATAAACTTTATTCCATTCATATTAATAATTGAGGGAACGAAGGACTTCGGTTCTGAGTATCACTAATTTTCTTTTTCATACAACCATTCACCCCAATTTATGGATGATGACGATAAGGTTAGATAAATGTACAATGAGATGAGTTATCACCGCTAAAGTGACTTTGTTGATTTTCGGGGCATCATCGGTCACTGTGAGAATTAACAAGACAACATCTCTTTTGCTACATGTATGGGAGACAGGTTAGTATTATACATCGTCGTTTAGATTGGCCTATTTAAAATGATGGAATTTACATGTCTAAATATATCTGCGAAGAAGTAATCAGTAAACGGCGTGTAAATCATCTTTCAGGGATTTAAACAAAAAACGACAAGTACGCCGATTAATATGCACAACAATATGTACACAAAGAATTGATAATTAATAATCAAGAAAGGGACATTCCCTTCAATCCGAGCTTCTCGAAAAATTCTGGAAAGAAGAACAAGGTCAATTTGAAAAAAAAATTTTACTTATTATTACGGTTTGAGTTACAAGAACAAAATAATTTTTTCCACTGTAGAATTTCCCGTAACTGGTATTCTTTTCTGGAACTGTTGGATAATAGAAATTAAGCTCATCCGATTATAAGTTTTTTTATGGTTTAAATCGATCATTCAGTCAGACTCTGAGCAACTTCGGCATTCTGCGGTTATTCTACCTTCAAATATCGGCAATATGGCACAGTCATCATCAATTATCGTCCACTGATAAGGTGCCGAACAATCTTCACAATCACTTTTGAAAAAAAACCTGCAATATAATATAAAACTTTTTTCTCCCTTATTCTTTCAAAATTCACAGTTCATAATATTCAATTACCTTACTCAAATTCTCTCTTATAGTCACATATTTGTTTGTTTGGTATCTCTGTTATTTATTTATTTATTTATTTGTTTATTTATTACGAATATCTAAATAAATAAACACAATTATGAATTCAGATTTGTCTTACTTCAATTTTCAGTACATCACTGCTCTACTCAGATGTCTTATTTTCGCTTTAAATGCCTCCATTGAATATCATTCTCTTTTTTATACACTGCTTACTTTATAGGATATTACCTTCTGGTTGTCTTTGATGAAATACCAAAGCACCGACGAAACTCACGAAATGTAATATCACGCATTTCCAACTTGGCTACAAATGGAGCTTCCGCATTTTCTTCCTTGTAGGAAATTGCCAACTGCTGCTTCTTCGGATAAAAGTTGTTGCTGAAGTTATCATTAAGATCAGATGTTTCTCAAGCTTTATAGCCCTATTAAAAGATGCCTGACTGGCAAGCAGACAAACTCACACAAACAGTGGCCGCTTTTCCTCTGCTTCAAGTGGAAACGAACAGTAGTAGAAGCTGCTAGTTGACGCTTCACTGCATGCTGAAGGATAAAACTTTGACAAATTTTATTGATTTTTTAAATTCAATAAGTCAAATTATTTAACTAATCTGCATTATTTCTTCCCTGAAAGATAGTTAATACTAATAGTCACATCAAGTATATTTGAACTTATGGTCGAACAAATATAATTCAAGTTTACATTGAGGGAAAGAAGTAGTCTGTGTGGACATTGCCATATGACGTGCTTTCTCAAAAAGGGCTGCTCGATTGATGATATTGGCCGATTCGGAACTACAGAAACCGGAACTATCTGAATATCGATGTCCATTGTAATCATTGCTGGAATATACAATGTTAATTTAATTTAACGATGATAAAAAATTTTTCCGCATAGGGACTTCTTGGTGTTATATGCATCGGAAAATTCGTATTATTAACGACAAGTTTGCTTACCTGGACAGCGGCGTCGTGCTGCGCAAACTATGCATTCCACGGTTTGCAGCACAGTTACGGTAATCCTTCAAAGTAACACCGCCCGGAGGTGGAGCAAAGCCATGTCGTCCGTATGGACTCGGCACATTACCGACATGAAGAGTGTTCGTGAAGCGTATCGGTGACGCGGACACTGAAAGAAGAGAAGGAATGGTTTATGTTATTCATCCCGCTCTTTCGCTCGATACTTGGTGTGGTTATACTACGCATACATTATGACACTTTGATGTTCTTACTGTGCCTTTGAGAATGTACTTTTTATTTGTCGGAAGAGAATTTCTCCATAGGTTTTTAGAGTACTGAAGAAAAAAAAGAATGACTTGATCTGCGTTTTTCCTCTTTCGGATTCATATCATATTCGGCATTCATCCTTTGTTCATACTTATCTAGCGAATCATTGCTTATCACCGAATCAACTTCATCATTTCCTTCCTTCGCTAATGCCAGCTGCTCCAAATCTCTACAAATAAGAAATATCATATAAGTACACTTACAGCAGTACCAGTCACTTGTCAAAAACTTGACATTGCTGATACTATCAAAGAAGAAGTAGGAATGATATGACGAAGTAAACTTATTGCAACTGTCCATAATGTGAACATTCTAGACTAACGGAACAATTTTATTAAAAAATCAAGAAAAAGGAAGACAGTTGAACAAACCTAGCAAACACTTCAATTCCGGTTTCATGTTTATACTGCTCCAAACGGTAAGCGATTTTATCTAGTTTACAGCGTAAAATTTCCGAAAACCGTTCTCTTTCTTCAGGACGTTGATGTTTAAAATCGCTACCGTCCGGTGGACAGCTAAGGAATGCTTGGTGTTGTTGTTGATGCTAAAAATAAACGAATTTTCTTTACTACTACCATTCCGTCTCTTGACAATTTCATTAACAAAATCTTCGATGCAAGGAGGAAAAATGATGTGGGTTTTAGGAATCAACGAAGCCACAGTCGATGAAATATAGATGAAGATGTTGAAGTTGCTGTGCAACAAGAAGAGATTAGTGTATGACTTATTTTTCAGAAAAGGAGAGGCTTTTTTTCCTCCCAATGGAGGTTGTGTTTTGCAAGTTCAGTTTGAAGTATACATCTGTTTTTTTCCGCCATCATTACATGACATAGGTGACAGTTTAACTGTGTAGCCATATTGACAGAGAAGAGTAAAATGCGAAT